TTTTTTGTAGGATTTTCGCTCTCCCCCATTTGGCATGAGTGTCATGGTTGCAGTAAACTACTTGTCGTTTTTTGTTTATTGTGCATTTTGCGTGTGCTTTGTCTTTCTAGCAAATATTAGCATGTTGATATCCGTGTGTTTTGGTGTACCCTGTTAGAGATGATGGAGTTGGTGTTTGCATATAATTGTGAAGGTGTCTAATTTTCAAGTTTTTATTGTATATGTATCCTTTTTATGAGTGTTTGCAAGGCCCCAATGGAAATCAGTTTTGGTAAACTGTTTGGGCTTACCCTGGATAAATGAAATAAATAAATGACTGAAAAAAAAATGGTACGAATGTAGAGACTGTGTATAAAATACTAAATGCTTCCTATATATGATTTAAAGATCAAATTTTGACACACACATCTACGGTTTGAATGTTTGAAATGCAAATGGTTGACACGAAACTGCATTACGGTCTCTCCATGCTCTACACACATTGGAACCCTAGTGCAAATCTTTGCAGTCATGTTAATTATTTGTGATGGGATGGCACCCCGGTCAACAATTTCAACTGCGTAGAATGTTTCTTGGCAACTAACACATTTTAGTGTAAAGAGCTAGCCTCATTTCACGACTCAGGTAACAACAGAATTAGGCTCTCAGGTTACTTTGAACTTGAAACATCAACAAAGAAATTTGACACTAACTATGAAAGCACAGTCCTTAGTTTGGATAGAATCCAACCAATCTACTCTGACTTTAACCCCCCCAACACACACACAAGTGTGTGTTTGCCTGCAACTGGGGACCCCCTATTGTTCCTCTTTTGTTTGTACTTTTGTTTTTTAGAAAGCCCACCCATATGTTTTGTACACAGTTGTCATTGGGGTCCGTATGTGAATCGGGGACTTTATTGTCCTCTATTGTTCAGGGTTCCCAATTGAATGCAAAAGCAAACTCATGCACACAAAAGGTTGGGAATTGATTCAATTTCACACCCTGCGCACATGCAAAAACTGTACATTCCAATGTAAATTGGTCTTGCATTCTCAGCACATCTGACGCCAAACTTGTACGTGTATAAACCTGTGCACATAAAGTCCCCATCAAAGACCCATTACGCTACATGCATGTGAATGCATGCGATCTCCAGTTCCAGCACAGAGTGGATAGTAAACAGAGATTCTTTCTTTGTGGCAAAAAGCACAGTGCAATTTGTCCCTGGCATTTACCTTGTGAGAAGCTAGAAATACCAGGACCATCTGTGGTGCCAGCAGCAAAGCTGTACCCAAGAGCAGGTGTGCAGGTTGTAAACTGCAAGATACCAACAATTATTCATGTTTAATACGGTGTCAGTGAAGAACAGCAACACATGCATCCTAATTTCTCCATGCACTCTCTTTATGAAGTCTCAAAAAGTACCACTAAAAGCTAACCACTCCTGGCTCAGCCTTCAAAAACAGTTCAAACAAGGATTTCAAAGTTCCGCATCTTCAGTGAGATTTTCCATAATGTGATCTGATGTCAGTGAAAATCCATCACCCCAGAAGCAAGGAGAATAAAGATATTGACTTCAGTGCATGAAATGTACAATCTGTGTACGGTAGTGTCATTCAATGACCAGAATTAGAAGCCATAAATGTAGTAGCACAACGCTCGTGGACAGGTGGCACAATGCTCATGGAAAGGTGATACGCACATGTTACATGCCTCCTTGACCAATAGGGTGCCTTGATTTGCCAAATACGCTTGTCAAGCTAAAGAATGTGAGTGTAAGTGTAGCGCCACCACATTTCTGGCATCTCCTCAGATTAATCTATAGCTCTACCCACTTCACGGAAAAAGGAGGCAATTGTGAAATTTTTCATTTGATAATTTCACAATTTGCTGAATAAACAACTGTACTGTCAGTTCATCTGTAAGGTAAGGTCAAAACAATTTTGCATATTTTAATCCTGGAGCAATAAACCATTTAAAAGCCAATATGTGACCTGTCACGACAAAATGAGCGTAAAAGTATATCCTGTTCTTGCCTATTTTTAGGCTTCAAAGTCATATTGAAGTGGAGATCAATATGGGGGGGTTGAAATATTTGGAAAGAGTAAACCGTTTTTCAATGTAATTCCAAATGTTTTGCAGGATAATATATTTCATTTTATAAATGTCATTTTCTCAGCAATTTTTCTGATAGCATTATTCATGCCCGGTCAGAAATGTTGAAACAATGTCAGAAACAAAGACGCAAAGCAGCCAGAATAATGTCACATTGTCACCTTATACTTCTACCCTAAGTGTTCCATGTACATGCCACTTGAAAAGCTCTGTTTCTGCGGAAGTAAAAGACACCAATACCTCAACATTTAAAAAGTCTGACTTTCAGCTCATTTTGTAGTGACAGGTCACATATTTCACAAGAACACAATTTAAACTCTGATCAAAATAATTTCACTGAAAAAAATACACATTGAAAAAATAATTGAAATATTGAAACACTATTAAAATGAATGAGCATACCGTTTCATTGCCCTTTGTAACCCTGAAATTAGACATATTCACATACTGGTGAATGGAGGATACTGGTCCGTTGAGTGGTGTGCCTGGAGCATCATACAATTCCTGCAAGAAAAATCAACGATATGATTTTGATCAACATTCTGCCAAATGATCTTTTGCAAATGTCCTGTGCCATAACAGTGCACTTCCAGTTTTCTGACTAATCCAGCGTACATGTATAGTTTGTATATATATGAACGGCAACTAGAAGCGTTTAAACTGCCTGTCAGTCATCCCATATGAAGTATCACTGAAAATCACAAACCTTTATTGTCTAGCCCTGTTTTAGAAGTCTATTGTAAGCCAAAATATTTAGAAGTGAAGCTCACACGCATGTGAGCTGCAGGAATACATGAATCATGTATGTTCTTTCTCAAAGAAATAACTACTGTATGAATGGTCCCTACAAAATAAAATTACCAGTAAACAATGAGACGATAAATGCCAAGACTACCTTTGCTTTTTCATAAAGCCTCTGGCCAATCATTCTAGTGTTCTCATACATGTCATTGCCTGGTCCTCTCCCAAGACAGTTAGCCACCTGTGAAACCCCAAAAAATGAGCATTATCAAAGCACACAGAAATAAGACCGATTCACAAGGCACATTGCACCCCTGAGCAATTGCCACAAATGTCAGGGTCAATATCTTGATATATCCCCCTACATTTGACTATCCCCTTTGCCTTATCCACAATAAACTCCAGCTGAGTAAGCCTTTTGCAAGTTCAATTTAAATTAAATCTGGCACACTGAGATGTCTGATTGCAGATAAACATAACAATTTGAACTCCCCAGACTAAAGACACTGTTGCTATACCTCATGATTTGGGGCAAGCTTTTGCATAGTGACCCACCATCTCTGAAATGGACTGGTTCCTTTGTGCCCTTCTCATCCATTGAAAGCAGTATATTGAGGCAAGGCGTCTCTTATGTAACTAAGGAAAACCTTGCCCCAAATCACGAGATGTAGCAACACTGTCTTTAGTGTGGAGAATTGAAATTGTTATGTTTGAGTGAATTTGAAGAACTCAGTGTACCAGATTTATTCAGGCTTATTGCTTGTGACAAAAAAATTCTCGTGCAATAGGATTGCCTTTTTGTTTTGGGGGATCGGTTGAGTTGGGCTTATATGCACTAAGAATTAGTTTCTTCATGGTCACCTTTCGGTGCTGCAATGTCTCGCGACTCATTGTAGTACATGTACATGTATCCTGCACCATCTCATAGCACACCATTTGCGATACACCATCTTATTAAAAACCCACAGATGCATTATGGGAAAACACATGACAGGTGTTAACCATGGCCAATACAGAGTTGATACAAAAACCATAAAGTGATTAAGATTCAGTAAGTTAAGTGCTTAGGAAGGACAATACAGTCACAATCATTCGTTTTGGAACACAGAATGCACCTCTTAAAGGTGAACTTGATCTGAAACAGGAATTTTCAAAACAACCCAAAGACAATAAAAAAACTTAACAACTGCATTACTGTCAGCCTATCCATCAAAATGGTACAGGCTGCATTTCTGATGAACCAGTGATAATTTCCTTCTAAACAATAATCAAATACAACCCAAGAATTACATGTAGTTTCAGTTTTATTCCCCGTTCATTTTTCATTTATTGTTAAGATGCCACAATTCCTGCAAAATCGTCATTTCAGAGATTGTCTGTTCCTGCATTATTAGCAATTGTTATGACAAAA